AACATTATCTGGTGATTTTCACGGTTTTGTTGTATAAATATATTGAATTTATTAAAATGTTAAAAAAAAACATTGCATTAGGATAATATATGACACAATAACAACTGGTCCAATGTAATTTCACGTACACACCTACCTTTGGATTTGAATTCTACTTGACATTTGATTGTAATTAGAAAAGAACAATTGAAGTTTGGACAATATTGATAGTAATGGCATACATGATCATTTTAGACTACAATAATTCCATTTATGGCAAAGTTTTTCTTAGAGCCAGTTTTTAGGTTCATCTTCTTAGAATAATGAGTTATCCCCAAAGAATAATTCAGCCCATCTTATATTACATGTCTTCTAGGCCCATTTGAAAACCAACTTAGATCCACCTTATATAAGAGACTCGTGAAACATTCTAGCTTCTGGACATGTCTTGGACCATACATATGAGGCTTTTATTAAATGAGCAACTTACAAAAATAACTATATTTATAGGGTAAATGAATACCAATAGCTATAAGTATGTTATTTACAATAAATGACTAAAATTTATATCACTTTTTCGCTGTATTTTTGTATAGTTTTTTATTTATTTTTATTTATACATTAATACATCTTTAAGTACAACAAACTAAATAAGGAATTGACTCTAAATATAACCCACTATCCTTACATTACGTCCATACAATGAGCAACTTCCCATAATTAACTTTATAACTAAAAATTACTTATTTAAAGACATATCAGATCATATTCTTTATCAGTTTAACAAAAAATGTGATATATACATCATACTCAATTTTCTTGTTGTCTCCATATTTCTTATTCTGGCGTCGTAAAGGTATTAATAATTTTTTTTTGTTAATTCAAGTTATTGTATGTAAGCAAATTGTTGAATTTGTGAATGAAGGTTAAGTATTTCGATTTTGAATAGGTGAACTACATGGCAATAGATACACTAGTTGTTAAACAAAAAATGAATACACCAATATATAATACAATGAATACATTGTTGTTAAACACAAAAATGAATACGTTGGATACAACTATACTTGTGTTCCCTAATCAACTTTTTATCTTAGATATAGTACTTATCTATCTAGATATAACTGTATTCGCAAATCAACATTTCAACTTGTGCTTATATAACAATACAAGTATCTATGTATATAAATATGGATACATTTCAACACTGTTGTTAAGCAAAAATATGGATACATTAGACAAACGAGCAAAAAAGATATAATTTGTTGGCATCAAACTGTAAGTATGGATATACATTAGACAAACGAACAAAAAAGATACAATTTGTGGGTATCAAATTGTATAATTATTCTTCTAAATAAAATTTTGAAAAGGCCAACAATATAGTATTGATGTAACCAACTATACTTGAATTCCCTAATTAATTTGACAGAGTACTATGTATTCAAATATAATTGTATTCACAGATCAACAGTTCAACTTGTGGTTATATAATAATACAAATGTCTATGTATATAAGTATTCTACTATATACAAATTGACAATGAGAGAACCCTCAATCTCTTTTTTGTTCATGTTCTTCTTGTACTCATTTTTTAACAACTATATACATACGAAATCAAATTTTTTGACAATTTCAATATAAGAGGACAATCCATAATGACAATGGCACACAATACATGTGTTAAGATATATAAGTAAATGACATTAAACTAAAAAAAAAACAACATACAAATCTCAATTTCATTAGTTTTTCTCTTGTTCCTGCTCGACTGCTCTTTTTTCGCACCCACTTGAATCAATATTGTTGACTTTTCTCCTTTTTCAAGATTAGTTTTCACTTCTGAACCTTTTTTCCTCTTTACTAATTTTGCATGTTCGATTTCTTCAAGCAGATTTAAGGGTATATATGGTCATTAACCTTTTTTGTTCTTCTTTCGTTCTCCATTGCAGCAATAGAGCCTGAAATTTTGGCTTGCTGTTGAGTAATACACAAATCAAAAGAAGGTAGTTCATCCAACAATTTGTCAAATAAATGTATACCTCTCGTAACCCTCCTCGGAGTATCAATTTCAGCCATTGAAATGGACAAACAAATTCTTGAATCAAAACCCTATGAAAATAGAAGAAAGTGTAGATGTGTAGATATATAATGCTCATAAAAACGAGATAAATATGCAATTAGAAAATACATGATGGATACAAAATCACAAAAATTGCTCCTGCAGTGATGTAAAGGATCTTGAATTTGAATGAATTTGGGAGAAACAATCAGAAAATATGTCATGTATGAATATTGATGAAAGAGAAAAATTTGATGATAGTAAACATGGGAAAAGATCACAAATGTGTCTGCCATAATTAATTAGGCATTCATATTATATTAAATATATATAAAAAAACTATTTATTTGTATACAATTAACTTTGCTATTTATAGTCTAATTATATTCATATAACATGAAAAAAAAAATGTAGCTATTTTTCTTGAATATATATGGATGTTTGCCATATTCTGAAGTTTTTCCAATAGCACTGTTCATTGTTTAGCTTATTCTTAGAGAATATTTTGTTTACGGAAACTCTAAACCGCTATCCAACCTATGTTTAAAGAATAGATAGCCAATCCCATCCTTCATGCAACCCAACAGATTCCTCCGTCTTATGTACAGAGGCGGATCTAGGATTTGGAGGTATTGGGTGCCACATTGTTCAAGTAAGATAAGCGGGTCGGTTGCTTTGATTTTGGGTTACAATCGATCAAACATGCATGTTAGTAATATTTTCTTTTAGATATTATGAGATTAGAGCTAAATAAACAATTCAATTTTTATTTCTTTTTAGGAATTAGTGGCCTATTTCGCTGAAACTCTGAGGAAAAAAGAATTTTTTTCACACTAAAATTTGAGCTTGTATAAACTATCTAATAGTGTTAATTTAATATATTCATATTTCATTGACTTTATGTGTTGTTGCAAATATATAACAAAGAGAATACAAAATTTAGTTTCAATCTAGTCATCTAACTTAGCAAGAACGTTGGTGAAGATCGAAAGAACCTTCAAATTAAAAGAACTCTAACAAAAATATTCATCATTTTTAAAACTTATACTTTTTAGAAACGACTATTTAAATAAATTCTTAATAATATTTATGCCACATTCATAATTCAATACTCATTAATTGATAAGAATAAACACGCGACACTCATATCAAGAGATTAATAATTAGTGAAAGAGAAAGTAAAAGAACTTAAGAATTAATTATGGTGAATAGATGTCAATATGAATTAATAAAGAATACTAGTAAATAAATAAGAATGAGTGGAAGGGGAAAAAAACCTTCATAAATTAATAAAAATGACAAAAAAAAAAAAAAAGCTTTCAAAAATTAATAATGTTGTTTGAACCCGTGCTGCCCGTGTGGCAAATCGCCTGCTCTGCCAATCGAACTGTTCACCATATTGTTTAGTGGGTGGCAAAGAAAATATTTAATAATTTTCTTATACATGTATACATATATATACAAAGTTTTTTCGAGTTCATTGGGTGTCGTGGCACCCCCGTGGGTACCCATAGATCCACCCCTGCTTATGTACCTTTATAATACTCATTAACTACTGATTTAGACTCATAAAAATTCAACTAATGAGTAATTTAAAAAGTATATCAAATTTTGGAGTCCATAGGAATTTGGAAGGTGAAGATGTTTGATTAAAAGAAGGAATTAGCTAAGATTTGGGCCTACCTATGTCCAACCTTGTACCAGAAAAGTTTGATAGTACTTTTTAAGTCACAGGTTTTGGATTTCCATGCATATTCCTACAACACTGTTTAAGGGTTGGTTTAATTAGTGAAAAGATATTCCAAATGGGATATGTACAACCACGTGGTTACATAATATATATGTATCTAGTAGCATAGTGAAGAAATGTCACTCTCTATTATTATGTAAGATTATGAAATGTATCACGAGATTATTTCTCATGTCGTTTAATTTCATTCCTATTTGTTAAGTTTGGACGTAGAACCTAACCTAATCGAAGTTGACTGGTTTGTGACAAAAAAAATTTAACCAAATGGTTACATCAAATAAATATAAATATGAAATCAAGCCATGCCATTTTTAGAAACTTTCATGGTCAAGATGGTTAGGTGTCATGACGCTTAAAATTATATAGTTCAATGCAAATATTAGGATGTGGGTAAATATTTCCCTCTTGCTTAAATTATAGAGCAACTCTTCTTGTTGAAATGTCACATGCAACTACTTAGCTGTACACAAATAGGAGTAAACATTAGGTTATAGAATTGCAGCTAATTCACTAAATATGAAATATAGAGACTATAGAGAGGTCCTGTGTAGATCCCCAATAAGTTTGCCCTGAAATTCAGGGCATATTTTGACCTCAAAATGAACACTAATTGCGGATCCCATAGTTTTTCATAATTATTTTAAGTATTCCCCAGTCAACATGCAATTCTAGTACATGTCAATTTATTCATTTCATTTTTTTTCCTCCGGTCCAGAATTTACTAGCTCAATCAATTTAGATTTGACTAATAGAGATAAAAGGGTGGATAGATAGATTACGACTATTTTTACTGCGGTTCTCGATGATTGCACAAAGGAGATGATAAAATATGGGCAGACAGCAAGTTGATTTATGAGCTACTAATAATTTGAGACCTAAAAGTGAATTGAAATTGGGTGCTAGACGTTCCAAAAAAGTTGTTTTTGTGAAAGCAAGACAGAGACTAGACCTCTATATAATAACAAAAGAAGGGACAGAATGAAGTACAGAAAAAACATTTATATGTGAGTGAATGAGTCATCATGTGGCCATTGTATGTATGTAGGGCAATATTACCTCCTATCAAGGCAAGATTTCAAGCAATCATCTTCATCATGTGGCTCTAAGTGCAATCTACAAATCCTAAAAAACAAATTTCATATTCTCATATTGCAACCTCATAATTCTTTCCTCAAACACAAACTCCATTTTCTGTCTTCCTCGATTTTGTTCTCTCTGTGATCATGGAGGATAACTATAGAGAAAGCCATCATCACTCTGAATCTCAAAGCCATAAAAACCACCAGCACAATGACATACTCCCTTCTACATCCGTTCTCTTGATTATCGTTCCTATCATAATTATAATCCTGCTTATTGCAATATCTCTTCTCATTGTCATGCTCAAGCGCATACAATCCGCCAAACACAATGGGACTAATAATAGTTCAAAAAGTGTCATCAACAAAAACAATTGTATGTTCGTTGCACATAGCACCATCGACATCCATTTAAGTCCAGGTAACCAATAATTCAAATTCATATTATACTATTTTAAATGGAGCATAGATGTTGAAAAAAATCACTATTTAGTTCCAAGAAAGTAAAAGTTGAACTCGTTTAAATTTAAATCCTGAATTCGACAACTCTGTTTATAAGAAATACTGTTCAAATATGGAACCACTTAATTTTTTTGTGTTTATATGAAAATGTGATGGGCAGATGTAAAGGGTCGATGTCTGCCTGGACATGGAGGAAGTTCAGGGAGGATGCCAGAAACAAAATTGAGAGGAGTTCAAGTATTTACATACAAGCAGCTGGAGATGTCTACAGACAAATTTAATGAGGCAAATGTGATTGGCAATGGAGGTTATGGGGTTGTGTACAGAGGAGTCCTCATTGATGGAACTGTGGCTGCAATTAAAGTTCTGCAAAGGGAAGGCAAGCAATGGGAACGTTCTTTTAGATTAGAGGTCTGTCATCACTTCATTTATTGCCTCTTCTTTCACTTTCTTCATCCACTTACATTGTTTCCAATTCACACATTAACCCATTGTCTCAATTTATGTAACGTAATAGTCTGACTTCATACAAAATTTAAGAAATAAGTAAGGACATGTCTTTTTTTTTTAAAATGGAGAAATTACAATATTGGTGAGATTTCAAGTAGTCAACCAACGAACATAAAAAAGAAAGTAAACAACTTTTTATTCATTCACTGTACATATATTGTGTATGGGGGGTGAGGTGGGGGGGGGACAGAATAGTTACTTGAGAAAATTGCTGATTTAAGTGGTTAGTGTGCTATATACAAAAGGTGTAGATTTTAAAGTTGTCTTTAATTTAAGGATCACTCAAGGGTGAAATTTTTTTATTCCAAAAGGTGTTGACTTTTTCTCTTTCTTTTTTTTGATATTAAAATCTTTTATCCTTGGAAAAGACAACAGAAAAAGTCCCTAGGATAACATGCAAAGCAATATACAGACATGTGATGGTACTTTGGCATTTTCTTGAATAATTAAAGCATTTCAGGAATGTCAAATTGTCAAGCTATCAGAACCATGTTTCTCAGAGCCATTATCTAAATAAAATATCACAATGTAAATAAATCATATGATTGCACTAATGAAGCAAAAACTGCAAGTTTGAATTTTATCATTAACTATAAACATGAATGTATTTTAACTGTAGCAACATGGACCGTAAGGATTGACCCTACCTTGTTCGTTATTAAGGGGTAATTGTTGTGTTTCTCTGTTTTGGCAGGTGGATTTATTAAGTCGCTTACACTCTCCTTACTTGGTTGAACTTCTTGGCTACTGCGCAGACCAACACCACAGGCTCCTAATTTTTGACTATATGCCTAATGGTTCACTCCAGCAGCATCTCCACAGCGCGCATAAACAATCCACAAACTCATTGAACTGGGGAATTAGGTTAAGAATTGCCCTTGATTGTGCTAGAGCTTTGGAATATCTACATGAGCACACAACTCCATCAGTCATCCACAGAGATTTCAAGTGCAGTAATGTTCTACTTGATCAAAATTTCAGAGCTAAGGTGTCTGATTTTGGGCTAGCAAAAATTGGCTCAGACAAATTGAACGGTCTGATCTCAACGCGAGTATTAGGGACCACGGGATATTTGGCCCCAGAGTGAGTATTACATCTCCATGCTTGCTCAATCAATGAGTAAAATAAGACAATATTGCACATGGAGAGGCTTCAGTTTCTATCTTAGCACATTGTCACTTTCTGTTATTTCTTCAAGACTTACAGCTGACACCTAAACATACTTTCCTAAAATAAAAATCCACCAAATGTGGTCCTCCACACCTCAGTTGTTCCAACCTTCAGCTAACGTTCTTTCGATTTTGTGACCATTAACCAACTCAATTTCTTAAAACAGGTATGCTTCAACTGGCAAACTTACAACAAAATCAGACGTATACAGTTACGGTGTGGTTCTTCTAGAGCTATTGACAGGCCGTGTACCAATTGATACAAAGAGGCCTCCTGGAGAACATGTACTTGTCTCATGGGTCAGTAACTAATGTATTTTAACAAGTTGTAGCACGTTACTTGTCTTACTTCATGACCTGATAGTATAGCAATTAGTATTTATAATATTGTTAGTGTATATAAGTTAATATCAACAACGAAACTATTAGCCCATACAATACAAGATTCAGGCGTTTAATAGAAACAATGCCTAAATCCGTTTTCTCTGTTATATTAGGCTCTCCCAAGGTTGACAAACAGAGAAAAAGTAGTTGAAATGGTTGATCCAACATTACAAGGGCAGTACACGAAGAAGGATCTAATCCAGGTAAATGTCATAACATTTATCCTCATACTACATATGAAACCAAATCTAATGTTGTTTTTGCTAAAACAGGTAGCTGCTATAGCAGCAATGTGTGTTCAAACAGAAGCAGATTATCGTCCGTTAATGACAGATGTTGTGCAATCCTTAGTAACTCTTGTTAAGACATACTCTTCTTCATGCCCTGCCAATTCCTTCAGATCATATAACCAGACTGTGAGTCCAAGGTCTTAGGAGGAGCCATTAATTCGGAATCTGAAGACGCGCGTTTCCAACATTATTCGTGATTCAACATTTCCATAAAATAAGTTATTTGCTCAAATGTTGGAGAATGACAACCTGTAACAAATATCTGGTTATAGCAATAAGGCTTATGTATGCAAATAGTACCCTGAACTCTAATAAACCATTTTAGTAATGCTTCATTGTCTAGTGAATGATAACAAATGCGATACCGCTATAATTCAGCTTTTCTTTCAATAGAATAAGATTAGGCCATATGAAATTGTTGGGTAACGCCAACATCCAACCTATGGTGAGGCGCACCCGAATAGGTCCAACATGATGATACAAGAGTAGATATTCATAAAATAGGGAAGACAAAAAAACAGTGTACAAACAGGTCAGACAATATGAAAATTGAAAAAGTTAAATTATTGTTGTACGCATAGCAGCTATTGTGGCAATTAACTAACTGGATTTATTCTATGGCACTTTTTGTTATCTCCTGTATTCAGATTAGCAAACCAAAAATAATAAAAGAACTATCCGAGTCCACAGAATCCACTGTGTGTCCTTAAGAAATTTAATCCCCTCAAGTACTCGAGGTTGTAGATTAACTCCTCCCAAGATAAAAACGAATTAACCATTAAAGAAATAGTGATACCTCAAACTTCAATAATTTCAACGAATTGAATTTTGCGAAAGGTGGGTAACAAATTAAACTACAACTGGATATACCCATTATAGCACAGGCAAGGAGAATATTAAAGGATAAGATATATACCTATTGGTATGTCAGCTAGCTCTTTGTTCATATTCCTAATGTGATTATATTCTACAGACTATACCTTGTTGCTTTTGCTAACATTAAATTTAGATATTAGAAACTACGTAAAAGTACTATGGATGGTGATTTTCCTAATATTTAAGCTACCTAACCATTAGTATAATTTTAATATTAATCAAAATTCAAGTAGTTTGACTCTCCACGATCAAAAAGTTTTTGGATAAAAGGCAAATATCGAGCTCTAGCTCCCCTACCCTGACACACATATTACACTAAAAATGATTTTTTGCGGCAATTAATTAAGGACAATAGCTTAATTGTCGCTAAATATGTATTTTTGATAGAATTAACACTCTTTGTAGATGTATCTAAAGCATATATAGCGACATTAGATCTAATAACAATTAATTAATACCGATAAAGGATTTAGTACTATTTATTAATGTGCATTTGTATTGCCGCTAAAGTTATTTTTGATGTAGTGATCACACACGTCTAATAGTCACAAACATCCCTTTTTTTTTCGTTCACAGAAAGTCTACACCTTTCAATATGATTCCAACCGATATATGCTAAATTAGACACCAATGGCTTGTCGTCTCACATTTTGCAATTAAGTGAATTAAAATATTCTCTCTTTTTCCGTTCGAATATATTAAATTTATATTTAAGATGATTGCATACTTTAATATGATATTAAATATTTTTTTTGTTTCTAATTTCATTTTAAAAAATATGTTGAAAATATAATTAAATAAATAAAGATATTTTGTCTCTAATTGCTTAAACTTATAAATGATTGCAACAAACTTCGAACACCTAACATGTAAAATACTCCCTTCGTTTTATATTAAATGATCATTTTTTATTTTACACAATAATTAAGAAATCAGTAATAAGTTGATCAGCTTTACTATTTTGTCATTTATTCATATCAATGCATTTAAAATAAGTTAGAAAAATATAGAGAGAGTATACTTAATAGGAATAGCTAATATTGGGATTGTTCACATTCCAAAGATCATATCAACACTAGGGGTAAAATGAGAAAAAAATAATCAGTTATATTCTAATTTAGTAACTGATCAAGTACGTATGAGATAATTATTTTTAGTAAAATACACGATGTAATATGTGACGGAGTAGCCTTTTAGATTTTTAATTAGTGCTCCTTTAACATTGGAAAAAGAGCTTTTTGATTTTGAAACTATAGTCCAATTATATGGGTCATCATAGTTATGTGAATTTCATGCTTGACTATTAGCAGCCACTTGTGTATCATTATTGGGTATCGCATGGACAATGCATTAAATTTGTTCTTTTCTCATTAAAAAAAAAATATGATGACTTTCCGTAAAGATTCTGATATAACTTTTTTCAAAACAATATGATTTTGGCATCTTCCAATTTCAAAGCAAAAAGATATTTATGTCTTCTTCAATCCATTCATTGCTCAAATGAAGAGATGCTTTTGCTAGAAAAGTATTTTTGTATAATTTTATTTCCTTCAAAATATTCTCTATTTGTACATGCATCTCCTATATTGTAATCGAGAAATTAATTGAATTGTTATATCATGAATATTGGATTCAAATTTAACATACAAGTGTTGCTTCCTATATGTGGGAAGATTCATGAGTGTTATATCACTATTTGAAATAGATAGAGGTTTTTATCCATCACTGTATCGCAAATCAATGAAAACTAACTCACTGGAAAAAAAAAATCATAATAAAAATAAATTTTACTGAATCATTGAGAACTTCCTAATAATTTTGTGTAAAATACTAGTACTATTTTTTCTTTTCTTATTAATTCCACCGAACATTTTCCAGCGAAAAATTTCAATGAAAAAGTAATGATATTTTTAGTAGTGTGTTGATTGATGAATGTTTTTTTAGGAATACATGCTTTCGAGGCAAAGTGATAAGGAAAGCAATGAGTTGAATTATGATACACAACAAGACTATGACAACGGTTTTCTTCTTTGTTTTTCATTGAAAATATTATTTGATAACACAAAAAATGCTCTACAATCAGTGATACACGATTTGAAATTTGACAGATAATTGACCCAAAAAACTTGTGTTTGTGAATAATTTGAACTCGTGAATGGTGATGTGCACTTAACTCACTTATCACATATTCTTTATGAGTTATATCGTGAGTTTAATAATATATTTATATTTATCTTCATTATTTGTTATTCTTTTGCTTTGGATATACTGGTTTTTGTGACAAAAGTTTAAACAAAGCACTAATAAATGGCTTAACCATAAACCCTTTTTTTAACGAATTAAGCAATTACCTGTTTAACGTAAACTGATCGAACAAAATATTGTTGGTTAGCAAAAAGCTGACATGACATGTACTATAGTGTCATCTACAACGAAGAGTAGCTACACTTTTCTAGGCAAAGAGATAAAAAGAAGATAATATTCGTTAAGAAATATTCAACGTCATTATATTGTATTAGTATAAAGTATTATAAAATCTCCAAGTAGTAATTTAATGAAAAGTTAAACAAACAAGCAACTTGTGAACCATAATTTTTTTCCCGGGAAGTGCTAAATGGCCAAAATTATGTGGCCATAATTTGATCAGAATTGTAAAAAGACTAATTTAACCTTTTTCTCTTTTAAAGTAAAGTCAAGTCTTTATTACTACTATTTCCTAAGCTTTTAAAAATACGTGTGAACAACAATTATTATGTTTAGTGAGTTAGAATTATTATTAATTGTGTGAAGGAAATTATTAAATGGACTTTATAATGTGGGACCTATTACAATCTAACTTCACCTTCTTTTAATTCTTCCTAATTCACTTTTTCTTTGCACCTTTTTCTTCGTCTTTTATGCCATCCTTTCTCTTTTCTTTTCCATTACATGTAAAATTAAAGTATACAAATTCTAATTCCATAAGATATTTTTTGGATACAGTTTATCAATGATTTTCTAATTTTAAACTTGTAAAATAACATTTATTTATTTCTATTATATACAAATCATTCAATTCTAAAATCAAGCACACAAAAAAAATATTCGTTAATATCTTATTTCATAACACAAAATTTGTTGGGGATAATATTACATTTGTTTTCTTTATTTTAATTTCATTATAGTATATTTAATACACTATCATCAATATTAAAAAATAATATGATTTGATTTTTTTTTCTTCACTAATATATTCATTTGAATATTATATTTCAAAAAATAAAATACTTATTTGAATATTATATTTCATAATCATATTTTTTTATGATAAACTTTAAAGACTATTCTTTTCAGATAATAACATATCCCTTTTTAATAAAGTTTGTACTTTCATGTGATAAATATAGAAAGATAAGTTTTGTGTGATAAATTTAATAGTTAGATGAATTTTATGTATTAAAAAAATAAGAAATTATTTTTTCGTGTTATAAATTCTTTTGATAATTTATAATGAAAATATGACATAACACTATAAATAAGTTAATTACATACAAGGTAATTTTAGAAACTTCCTTTAATGTGATACTTCTCACAAAGTTCAGTAATATATTTGATACTTCTCACATGTGATTTTTTTTAAAACCTTTTTATTTCAATGATTAATTCAGTCTTAAACATCGTATGTGTGATTTTATTTGCTTATCATTATCTGAATATTTTGTTCAGTTAATAAAAAAATAGTGTGTATATTTTTTTGTGTATTGTATAGTTCATTTGATTTATTTTTAAAAATAAATATCGTTCAGTTAATAAAAAAAATTGTACGCTTTAGTTAAAAAACTATTTTTGAATTGTACCTTAAAAAATGTTCATAAGGTACCAATGCATATCTTTGAAAAATTATTTTTTCGCTTAAAATAAATCTCTTTATTGAAGAAGACAATTAAATTTCTCATTAATAATAACTACAAATGACTATCTTATCTACTTAAGATTATACTTAATTATTTTGTAATACAAATTTAGTAAAATATAGTAATTAAGCGTAGATTCAAAAAAAATTAGTTTAATTTTTCTTTAAATATAATCAACTAAATAGATTAGTCTATATATATAATGGATGTTTTTCAAGAGAAAAAAATAATGTTATTTTGGAAATTATATACTTCTAAAAAATAATTGATGATAAGACATTTATAACTATGCCATGAAGAACACATTAGATTTTTATATCAGAATCATTCCAAACGAGAATTAAGATTATAGACATTGGTGAAATTATTTTACTAATTTTAACCAGGAATACAAAATACAGTTACTAATTTAAGAGGATGTTTCAAACACAAATAAATAAAAGATCACTCAATACCTACTTATCAATTATAATACTTTAAAATAGATGTATTTTATGTAGGATACTATATTAAATTAGAATA